AAGTACCAGGACCTGACGGAGGAACTAGCGAGGATGTGGAAAGCAAAGGACAAAGTGGTCCCAGTGGTAGTAGGAGCACTTGGGGCTGTGACTCCTAAGCTGGGAGAATGGCTCCAACAGATCCCAGGAACAACCTCAGAACTCTCTGTCCAGAAGAGTGCAGTGTTAGGAACAGCTAAGATATTGCACAGAATGCTCAAACTCCCAGGCCTCTGGTAGAGGACCAGAGATTGAGGAAGACACATACCACCCACAGGGGTCAGAGGGATTATTATATGTATGTATGTATGTGTGTGTGTGGGGGGGGTGTTTTCCTTCTTGTCAAGGTGGGCTGGCAACATCTAGTAGTCCATCTCAAATCTAATCAGAGAATAGTGTAAAGGAAAGAGGAGAGGTATTACAGGGCAGAAAGACAAATGGAAAACTGGTGGTCCAGGCAGGTAGGCAATGAAGATTAAGAAGCTGTGGATTAACAGGTTTTATCTCTAAAGCTTTCAAGGTAATATCAGCTCAGTACTGTGGAGAACAGAAATTTGACAGAGACCTCTGTTTTCTTTTCACTCAACTGCACCTCAAGTCAGTGTTTATCCAAATATTATGAAGGAAAAACTACAGAGCCAAAAAACAAAGGATTATATCTACTCAGTTCTATTCCTCAGCCTTCTAAATAAGCATGAGGAACCAGTGAGGAACCTCAGCCAGCAGAGTTATTGGTGAGAGATGCCGAAGTCTGAATTCCAACTTCATCTGAAAAGTTACTGGTTCTTCATCTCTCCTTTAAGTCATTTAACTTGTAAACCAAATGTTTCAGAGTGAAACAACTGTTTTCTTACATGATATTTTGGGACCACTATCCAGGAAAGGCTAGGACACTAAACATGTCCACCCAGTAGAAATCTCACATCTGAATGCTCATCAAATGACAATTTTCATGATACAAAAATAATGTCATTTCTACCCAAATATATGTGCCTCCCTTTCACATGACTTTTCCCTAAAGAAAAGCCAGCTTTTCTTTGAAATCTACAGTATTATCAGCATTCCTGTAAAATACTCAGATCTTCAGCCACTTTTCTGCAACCCATGTGAGCATTTTTGAGCTCAAGACTTTTCCAAAGTTGCTGAAACAGATTATTTCAAACAAAACCATTTAAACTCAAAGTAATACAGGTAGTTCTCATTTAGGACCACAATTGGGGGCAACTCAGTCATTAAATGAAGCAGTCGCTAAATGAAACCACAATTGTGCTTATGATCTTATTTCAGCTTTCCTTTGCTTTACACACTCTTGAAGATCGTAAATGTGAGGATTGGTCATAAAGTTACTTTTTCATCACCATCGTAACTTCAAATGGTCACTAAATGAGGTAGTTGCTAAACGAGGACTATTTTTACACATAACACATAACAAGAAATATTATTAGTGAATTTTAATAATGAGCTGGCAATGCAATCTGATTCATGTCTACTCAAAAGAACCAGAGTTCAATGTAGCTTACTTTTGTGAAGTGAATACAGCAGCCTTCCCCAGCAATGTTGGTTTGGGTGATGGGTGCTGGGTTTTTCCCCATAAGAATTATTTTCCACCATACTGCCTGTCATCTCCTGGCCCAAGCTCAGCTCATTTCATTTCTAACTGAACCAAAGGTAGACTAATTTTCAACCACTGTTCTCCCTTCCTTGCTCACACAGGCTTAGCATATTGTTCTACATCCTGCTTTTATGTATGCATTTTTATAGCTTGTCTTCCTTCCATTCCTCCTCCAAGAAGAATGGTGTTTGTTTGCAGCTTTATCACTATGCTGTTACAGTTGCAGCCATGCAGGAGGCTTTGAATGTTGGTTTACTTCTCTGTCACCAAAGAGCTAAAGGCATTCATATTTTTAGCTCATCTGTCTTCATCAACTTAGCCAGTCAAAAACACTTCTTCTCACAGACTACTAGACACAAGTAAATAAATATTGTAAAACAAACTGTGGTTGGTTGACATTTGCCCCCCACCTCCCCCATTAGAACAGAAGAGTGATCAAAATGTATTATTTTACCAAGGCCTTATAGAGTTTTAGGATCATTTATGCTACTTTGGGATTTTTAATGTTTACATTTTTTAAGTTACCTGAGACACTTAGAAGTACACTGCAAGTAAATACGGGAGGGAGGG